CCTGTGCCAGGCTCCCATGGCAGATGCGGGAGCAGGCAGGAGACTGAGAGAAGGAGCCGCTTCCCCCACACCGTGTCCAGCAGGATGTTTGGGCAAAGCTCTGCCCTGCTCCCTGGGCTGGTGCAGGCTCTGCCAGCCATGGCATCCACCTCCTCTGCTGGGTCTGGGTGCTTTGGACACATCTGCAGAGCTGGAGTGTCCTGGTCCTGCTTTCCAGGTCCATTTCAGACTGAACCCCATCACCTTTCTCCCCTCATGAATGGGATGCGGGTGGCAGGGGTACCATGGGTGGCCTCATGCTCCCATCTGTTTCCCCCTAGCTATCCTGAACCCGAAGCAGCCCAAAGAGACACCAAAAAGCTTCAGCTTTGACTATTCCTACTGGTCCCACACCACGGTAAGCGGCAAGAGGCCTGAGCCAGCCTGGAGCACTGGGCTGGGCAGAGGCAGGAGGACCTTGCTGAATTTCTCCTTGTCCTCCTCCTCTCTGCAGCCTGCAGACATCAACTATGCATCTCAGAAGCAAGTGTACCGGGACATCGGCGAGGAGATGTTGCAACACGCCTTCGAAGGCTATAACGTCTGCATCTTTGCCTACGGGCAGACGGGAGCTGGAAAATCCTACACCATGATGGGGAAGCAGGAGAAGGACCAGCAGGGCATCATTCCGCAGGTGAAAAGCTGCCTGCTCCCCTGGTCCCAGTGGGGTGCCTGAAGGAAAAGCAGAGCGAGGAGGGAAGAAGGGAGCAGGTCAGGATGGTGGGTAGGGGGACAAGGGGGGTCACGCTGGACTCCTGAGACCGGATGAATTACGGTCTGGCCACACGAGGCCAGTGTTTCTGAGCAGCGGCAGTCCAAGCGCCGAGCCCCCACCAGCTGTGCTTGCTGAGAGCTGCAGCATGCCGGCCCAGCAGGGCGCTGGGGGGGGGCTGGGGACGCTGAGCCACCCACATCAGCAGGGTGGGGTTCTGCCAGCACCCCAGGAGCTGTTCCAGTGCTCAGGGGCTCTGTTTTTTGGGGTGAGAAGGCAGAAATTGCTGTGGCCTGGGCACCCCAGGCAGGAGCATCCTTGTAGTCGGGGGCTAAGCAGCCTGGCTCTTCTCTCCACAGCTGTGTGAGGACCTCTTTTCCCGCATCAATGACACAACGAATGACAACATGTCCTACTCCGTGGAGGTAGGCACCCCATTTCCTGCCTTGTCTGTCTCCAGGCTCCCACCTGGCTCTGCAAGCGATGCCGGTGTGCAGACCCCTCTTTTGGGGGTCCTGTCCCTGGGTGTGGGGTGGGCGGTAGGACCTGATTCTGCCTATGCACTGAGCATCTGAGTCCTGCTGGCCACTAGCCTTGCCCATGCCCTCTGCTCTAGGTGAGCTACATGGAGATATACTGTGAGCGCGTGAGGGACCTCCTAAACCCCAAGAACAAGGGGAACCTGCGAGTGAGGGAGCATCCCCTGATGGGCCCGTATGTTGAGGACCTTTCCAAGCTGGCTGTGACCTCCTACAACGACATCCAGGACCTCATGGACTCTGGGAACAAGGCCCGGTGAGTTAGGGGAGCAGGAGATGGCGGGGGTTTGGAGAGCTTGCAGACATCTCCAGAAGGTCCTGTTTAACTTCCTTGCTTTGCTGGTCTGGCTGCTCTGGAGGTGGCAGTCCCCTCCTGTCTGAACATCGGGTACCCCCCCACTTATTTTCGTGTTACCTCCTTCACAGAATCACAGAATCGTAGGGTTGGAAGGGACCTCTGTGGGTCATCTAGTCCAACCCCCCTGCTGAAGCAGGGTCACCTAGAGCAGGCTGCACAGGACCTTGTCCAGGCAGGTCTTGAATATCTCCAGAGAAGGAGACTCCACAACCTCCCTGGGCAGCCTGTTCCAGGGCTCCGTCACCCTCAGAGGGAAGAAGTTCTTCCTCATGTTCAGACGGAACTTCCTGTGC